TAAAAAGGTGCGTTTCGAGTACTCACTCAGCTCAGTGAATCAACTAGGGCCTTGAAAGTGTGGAACGAATACGTCATTAAGAGTGGGAAGCCCTACCTACCCTGACACGAAGTACCCCCTTCCCTTTGCGAACATGGCAGTGTTGCACTTACGACGAAAAATAAACGAGGATTTGTACCGACAGACACTAGGAGGAGTTCGGCAGTACACGGGTCCTGAACGGGAAACCGCGTTCCGACGCCGGTCCGGTAAGTACAGTGCGTGACCGATCTCACGAAATGTTGGCCAAAATTCCAAATTCGTTTCCGATTAGGAAGGATTATTTAAGTGGGGTTGTTAAACTGATTATCATACAGCATAACCCTATTACATTTCGGACTCGGCAAGACGTCAGCTTTTGAATGTACTTCTTTTAGACCTCCACTTCGAAGAATTCCGGTCATATGATTTCGCAGGTTCCCTGCCATGCTCAACGCTTTCAATTGTGGCGGTGATGTTGCTGGTTGTTTTCATCCGAAAATGCCTTGGTTATTTTAAGGTCATTGTTTTTGATGTTACAGACCATTGAAACTAACGATTTCCCCAAGTCAAAAAAGTAAATGAAAGAGGGCGGCGCAGCGTAGCGGCCAATGCCATCAAGTCAGCGAAGCACTGAGAATAAATGCTAGCTAAGACCGATCTGAAGACAGTTGTTAACGCGTCAGTACAGTCAGTGGCCGTAAAAGTATAATAGAAACAGAAGGAAACTGGGTAAATATGATAATAGTTAATTGTACAAATAGAATGAGTTACAACAGAAGGGTGACCTATCTGGATGGAGAGGTGACGCGGACATGCCTGCCAAATAACCGGTGGGGGACGCAGCGCTGTGGACAACTGCAGGGGACGGGCCTTGGGACCTACCGACATAGGGTAAGAGACGAGAGCTGCAACGAGTTGCGGTACGGGGGTAGATCGTGGAGAGGGAAGGACACCGTATATTTTCACCGACCCGCAGTTACGCCATCACCATTTCAGATCTGCGCGAACAGTGTTTACTTCATTCAAACAATCCATTACGGCTCGTGGGACCTTAGCGCAGACCGCAAGGTGAATACGTGTGAGGATACGGCTCCATGTAAAATGGAACACGTCCCTTTTCATGGACGCCTTACCTTATTGCTGTCTACCTAGACGAAGAAAGGCACTAGGAAAGATTATCTCGTTGGATAATATCAGGATCCTCGAGGACTTGAAGTCTGAAGGTATTCTGCCTAATCATTTTTGATACAACTTAATCGACATTGTTGAGGAAGACCTGATATGTCAGGAACGCTAAAACGGGCACTTTGGTGAGCAAATCAGCGCTCCACCGGATTGCCGCTGGGCCCCGTCCAAAAAAACAGGACGCTAACAAGGTGCGTTTCCAGTACTCACTCAGCTCAGTGAGTCAACTAGGGCATTGAAAGTGTGGAACGAATACGTTATGAAGAGTGGGAAGCTCTACGTACTAGGACACAAAGTACCCCGTCCCCTTTGCTAACATGGCAGTGTTTGCACTTACGACCAAAAATAAACGGAGATTTGTACCGACAGAGACTAGCAGGACTTCGGCAGTACAATGGTCCTGAACGGCAAACCGCGTTCCAGCGCCGGTCTGGCAAGTTGGTCAGTATGTCAGCTGGCATTTGAGGTAAATGATCTGCCGCCCTAGCCATGGGTCAAACTGCTGCCGTCGACGACTACAATATAAAAGTGGCGTGGTAGTGGCGTTCGCCAATTTTTTCCCTATTGCAGGGCGAAAACGCTCTACAACGATATTGAATGTAGCCACACTGATAAAACTGGTTTTAAGGACCCCTGTTACCCACAGACCTAACATTTAAAGCCTAACTCTGGTCTTAAAATCGTTACCCCAACCTTTAACCTGAACATTTAATCCTAACCTTAAGCCCTAAACCCAACCTTAACCCGTAAACCTAACCTTAGCCATTAATGTTAGGTTTAGACTTGCATTAGACTTGGCCTTATTAGTGAAACAAGAGTGGAGTTTGAAGGTGGGTAAGTTTTAACGTTTCCTTATCCCATAATGTCCTTTTCAATCTGTTACCGGGCAAGTCGTAGATTTGTCATCTGAAACATGTTATCGATTCGAAAAGATTACTTAAGTAGAGCTATAAGATTACTTATCGTGCAGCATAATCCAATGATATTTCAGTCATGTCAAGATGTCTGCTTTCGAGTAAGCCTTCTTTTCTTCTTCATTTTTTACACCATGAAATGTCGACTCATACTCCATCTGATCAGTACGTTTAATGGTGCTACTTGTAGAAGATACAACCTGGTTAACATCCATCGCACAATTTTATGGGTCCTGTATGGCTTCTCCCTAACAGCGCAGAGAAATGTCTAATATTCCTTTGGTGAAATGTATACTGAGTGTAATTTTGGCACCCTGAACGCAGGCGCAAAGACAGGTGGGGCAAAAAAGCATTCGGAAATTGAAAAAGTTCTTAAAAACCAAATTACACATTTTCCTCAGGTGAAAAAATTGAAGGGGAGGTAATTTCCCATCGGACGTGTAAAAGGGGGAATATTTTCATGTACGTTTTCCGGAAGATATAATTAAATTTATGAGAGCATCAAAAATAAATTGGAAAAGTTCATTCTTCTCAAGTAGTCGAGTTTTACGCAACTCACAATTCGAGCACTGTGACAATATTCGAGGGTGTCCGGAAATCAGTATGGAAGTTCACTAAAACTTGACTCAGACCGCCGTGTGTGGATATTAAGAAAAGCCAGGAGGCCATGATGCTGACTACATTCTTCACCCAAAAACGGAACCCACCTAAACATGGGAATTAAAATAAGCTAAACAGAAACCAATATCATACATTAACTTATTTATCAATGTAGATTAAACCAACGCCTACACATAACTTCAGCCCTAAGTCGGTAAAATATGGGACTTCTTCTTGTTTCCCCAAATTTCAGACATCCGCAAAAGCGAGTCGGAAGCAAAAAACCGTTGGTAGTTCTGCTGTCTTTAAAATCATTAGCCGGGAGTAGTCCCGAACATACTCTGGTTGATTGAGGCCTGGAGACGCAGTTGGCCATGGCGGTCATTTGATGTCATGAGGACTTTCGAACGGCGAGACCTCGATGAGTCGGTGTCCTGTCAAGCTGAAAAGCCCATCATGGAAGGCTTTGGAATACTCGGAGTAGATACAATCGCGGTATCTGCATATGGTGTAATGCACTAATAATGTGACTACGGAAAATAAGTGTTCTTGCCTGAACCACATGCCCTATCCTTCGGTAGGCCCAGACAGTCACCGAAAGCGCTGAGACCACTCCCCCTAGTTGGTGGTTCCCATGATGATTTAGAGTGCATCACGCTATCCAGAGGGACAAATATTCAGCCCATCTTTTGGCCAACTATGTATAACTTCAACTTAAACACTGTAATTCGTTTGTACTGATATTTACATAGGAAACAGTAGCCATCGGGCAGGTCAAGACGATCACACCGTAGGTCACCGCCGCAATAATTTCGGTCGTGAGGGCGTAAACAGGGCTGACCGACCACTCTCATCCAGCTCTGATATCAAGAAACTTGGGTGCCGAATCGTGTCACCACGTAGCCTAAGGCATATTTTGTATGGTCTTCCTTGACCGCTTCGTAGAATGGCGACATAAAATCAGACCCACTGTGATTGGTTGATCGCATATAGGTGGCGGTAGTGGTCGGTCGCTTGCAAATCCATCGCACAGAGGCTTGCGAGCCAGTGCCTGCAGCAACCGCACACATTCGCCGTATCCACCTCCGCCGTCCGCACTGCCCCAGCACATTCACTTACCTCATGGGCCTTCTAGGGCACATACGCATCCACGAGTGTGAAAGTCACCGCAGTCTCGAAACGCCTAGCACATCCTCCACACGACAGTTCGACCGTCGATTTCGACGATGTCCACCGTGTGCCCCACATAAGGTGGGAGCAGGGACGGTGACTTGCGCAGGGGTTTATAGTGCCGGTAGACTTGCGCTGCATCTACCTACACTCTCTCCTCCTCCCCCGCCTGGGCCCGGTGTCAAGACAGAGTCAAGAAGACCGGAGACGAGGGAGGCCGCAGGTGGATGGCTCGGACGGACCCTCACCTTGGCGTTCCACCACACCCCCTGGTCCACACAACAATAACCAGGATTTCAACCAACACAACAGATATTTGGAGGCTGGCACGGCCGAAGCCGCACCTAGGCGTGCCGCCAACGCCTGGCTCGGATCCCACACTGTGGTGGGAATGCCATAAAGGCCACATTAAAAAGGAGCCATTGCAGCCTGACTCTCAGACCGCCTCCCGTTAAGGAGGAGGTCCAAGGTATCCCATCAGTTGGCAACCTTCCAAGCCACGGCTTTTAGCTCACCGTGATAGCTTCAAGCGCGTCAGATTGTTTATAGCGAGGAGAAAGTGCGCTGAGTCGTCGACCTCACTCTCCCTTCCCATCCCCACACCCCAGCCACTGTCCGAGCCGGTCAGCAGACTGGAGTGGGGAATGGGCGCGGTGGCTGACATGGTCGACTGACCATGCCTGCGCGCGCCACAGCACGACCTGGCCCCCCATACACACACAAACACCAGGATTTCACACAACGGGGGTAGAACGGCGTGTCTCCCACTTGCGTGAGAGGGCCGTGGAAGGTGCTGCCTCAGCCCATCCCCAGCCCACCAGTCCGCCACTACACACAACACACACACAACGTGACGAACCGCGTGAACCGAGAGCAGGCCTCAATCATCAACCTTCCTATCCACGACGCTTGACGTGTCGGGATAGTCTCGGCCGCAAGTCACCCGTGCAGCCGAAGCCGCATGGGGACCGAGTCAAGATGCGGACTTCCCACTTGCGTGGGAGGTGGCAGTTGGGTGCATGAGATGTGTGAGTGTTGACTTCTGGTGGGGTGATGGTGGTGGTGGAGGAGGTAGGGGGTGAGTGAATGTGTGGTGTGGCCGGCGGTTGTCTACCGCAGGTCGTCGTGGATGCGCATGTGGCCGAATAGACCCATGCGATGCGTGAAGGTGCGAGGGCACTGTGGGCAGTGGAGGCGAGTGCGGTGGGCGTAAGTTGGTGCTCCAGGCACTGGTTCACCAGTCTCTGTGCGATGGATTCGCAAGTGACCGACCAGGCCGATGTGTGAGGTGAAGGTGCGGTCACAGTGAGGGCAGGTGTAGTCCTGATCCTCATCACTGGAATCGGGAGGGGTGGGGGTGGTTGTGGTTGTTGTGTCGTGGTTGGCGATGCGTGAGACGGCAGCCTGAACGGCCTCCGCTGGGGCAGTGGAGGAGAAGGAGGAGGATGGAAGTGGTGGTGCAGAAGGAGTGTCAGAGTTAGTTGGCGGCAGAGAGGGCGAGGAAGAGGCGGGCGGGGGGACGATGGCTGGAGCAGCTCGAGAGGTGCAGTTGATCCGAAGATGTCCAACAAGTCCGATTCGTGCCCGGAATGTCCGTTGACATCGAGGACACGTAGGGAGCGGTTTTGCGGCGGCGTTGCGTATTGGGCGAACTTGTCATTTGCGGGCTTCGCGTTTCGCTTTGGCGGCAGCGATGCGGTTGGCATCGTAGATAGCAGCGCAGGTCTTTACTGTTCTCCTCCATGTCGGACGATCGCGGGCGAGCTCTTCCCAGTTGGTCGGGTTGATTTGCAGGCGCTTCAGGGAGGACTTCAGGGTATCCTTGTAACGGCGAATTTGGCCTCCTTGACGACGAGAACCCGTCGCGACGTCTCCGTAGAAGAGTCGTTTGGGTAGTCGCTCGTCGTCCATGCGCACCAGGTGGCCGCTCCAGCGCAGCTGCATTTGTCTCAACATGGAGTAGATGCTCAGAATTCCCGTCCGTTCCAGTACTTCCGTGTCGGGGATTCGATCCTGCCAGTTCAGCCTCAGGATGCGGCGGAGACAGCTGAGGTGGAAGTGGTTCAGTCGGCGTGCCTGTCTCGTGTACACCGTCCATGTCTCTGCTCAGTACAGTAACGTCGGCAGGATGACGGTCTTGTACATCTTCAGCTTCGTGCTCAGTTGGAGACCGTGGCTATTCCAAACTGTGTTTTGGAGACGACCGAAGGCTTGACTGGCTTTCGAGATCCTGTTGGCGACTTCGTCGTCGATCTTGGTGTTGCGGGAGAGCGTGCTGCCCAGGTACGGGAAGTTCTCTACCACTTGCAGTTGAGTCCCATTCACGTTGATTTGCGGCGCGTTGGGGGCTGTGGCTGAGTTGGGAGGCGGCTGATGCATCACCACCGTCTTCTGCGTGTTGACAACCAGCCCAAAGTTCTCCCAGGCGGCGGAGAATAGGTCCACGCTCCGTTGCATCTCCTCTTCCGAGGTGGTGTTCAGGGCGCAGTCGTCGGCGAAGAGGAGTTCGTGCACGGTAGTTGTGGATACACGCGATTGGAAGTTCATGCGCCGGTGATTCAGGAGATGACCGTCCGTTCTATAGGCGATGCGGATTCCAGAGCGTTCGTCGCGGTAGGCGTCCATCAGCATGGCAGAGAACATGAGACTGAAGAGGGTAGGCGCCAGCACACAGCCCTGCTTCACTCCGTTGGTCGCTGCGAATGCCTCTGAGACAGCTCCATTGTCCGTGACTCGCGCCATCATACCGTCGTGCAGCTGACGCACCATCTGAGTGAATCGCTCCGGACAGCCGAATTTCTGCATGATCTTCCACAGTCCTTCACGATTCACCGTGTCGAAGGCCTTCATCAGGTCCACGAACGTAGAGTACAGGTGGGTCCGCATCTCCTGGCACTTCTCCTGAAGTTGGCGGGCTGCGAAGATCATATCCGTGGTCCCACCATGACGGCGGAAGCCGCATTGGCTTTCCGGCAGAAGGCCCTGTTCCAGATGGTTGTTGAGGCGGTTGAGCAGGATGCGAGCGAAGATCTTCCCGGCGATGTTCAGTAAGGAGATGCCGCGGTGGTTGTCGCAGACTTGGCGATTCCCTTTGCGCTTGTATAGGTGCACGATAGTTGCGTCCTTGAAATCTTGCGGGACTTCACCTTGACGCCACATCTCCTGGAAGAGCGCAGTCAGGTGATCCATCAGTAGGGGACCTCCGTGCTTGTAGACCTCAGCAGGGAT